CGAAAACTATTAGGACATTTTTATGTCGGTACAACGGGGGCGATTTCCCCGCACCCCCAATAAGAAATAAATTAATATCTGGCGTACCGTAATAGCACAAATCTTGGCGTTTGCGGCACAAACCAGCACAAACGAAGCACAAACGAAAACTATTAGGGCATTTTTATGTCAGTACAACAGGGGCGGCATAGGGAACAATTTTAATTTCCATGTCTCCAGCCCCACCTACAAAAAATTCGAATATCTCACGAACGAAAGCAGCACAAACGACCGCGTTTACGGCACAAAACAGCACAAACGTAGCACAAACGAATACCATGAAAAGAAATTTTAATTTCGATAGTGAGGGGGCTGGCATGTCTCCAGCCCCACCTACAAAAAACGCAAATATCTCACGAACCAAAGCAGCACAAATCGTCTCGTTTGCAGCACAAACGAGCACAAACGTAGCACAAACAAATGGCGTTTTCAAAATTTAGATATGTTGATGTGGGGGGGCTGGGGACATGGAGCCAAGAATTTCGGTGACCCAACCCAACCCAACCCAACCCATAGCTTCAAAATGTTTTTATAGATCCGGAACTTTTTGTTCCTATGTACGTTACAGGGTATATCTGAATTGGATGGGAGATATTATGAGCAAAAACTGTGGTTGAAATAGATTACATCACAATGAAGTGAATGTTTGGATAATGATAAGAAACCGCCACGAATGGAGAGAACCTAGGAGGCCTATATCCAAAATTGGATTCGAGAGAGAAGTTTAAAGTAAATAAGAGAAGAATTTATGTATATTTTGCGTATTTTTATTGTTTCTTTATTATTATTGGGGAATACTTAGGTTTAGGAAGTATGTAATTATTATTTCTGGGAATAAAGGTTATTATTCTTGTATTACTTGATACTTAAAATTACTATGATATTATTTTAGGTTGCTTTTAAATTGCTAATTTCTGAAATTTGCTTACATATGAAATCATTGGTAAATTCCAAGCTGCAGCGACCAAAGCTTCTGATGAGCACGTGTCATCCGGACCAATGAAAGCAACGGTGCCATTATCCCTCATTTCGGTCATTATTCTAATGGCCCTGGTCGCTAACGATGAATCAGTTCGAGCCAGACCGGACCCAGCGGGATTCGTACCAATATCCGCTGCGATGTATATTAATTTTCTTCCAGGAAGCAAATCTATGAGCAATATCAAAATTATTACATTCAATACAATTTCTAGAGTTTTGCATCGAAATTAAAGACGACCTTCACTAAATATTCAGGTATCACAACAAGCTTTTTCTTATTCTTTTAGCGAATGCTCAGATTTCAAATATATCAAAAATAGATTATTTCGTTTAACTGATACTGTTACGAAAAAGAGACACATTATCGCCGTTACCTATAAACCAATTCGTTTTCTGTTTGTTCTTAACACAAAAAACCTTTATCGTCACCAAGTAAACAACAATTGCGAAGCTAATGAGAATTACTACGTAAATGGTGATAGTGTCGTAATTAAGTTGTAACCAGGTTTCTAATTAAATTTGAATTAAAATCGATAACATGGAAATATCTAATAATAGATTGGTTGAAAAAGTGATAATTACCTCTGGGTTTTGATTGAAAACCCAAAAGCAATCAAAATGTCAATCACAATAAAAATGTTTAACACACCTTCCCAAACATTGATATAAATAATATTTTACCACTAACCTTTATCTTCATTAACTGCATCTATTGCTAATGGTAAAGCTCCCAACGCGACTTGAGCTTGTCCGTAAGCCCCAAGAAACCCGATCGTAACGGAATCGTTGAAATTATGATATCCAGTTCCCGATAAATAATCATACAAAAAATTATAATCATTTTTTTCGGTATTATCGGGATGTTGAGGACATTGAAAGTTGTCGGAAGTCATCGTTTGTAAGAAATTTCCGTAAGTTAAAATCACGTTTATGCTTTGTAATAGGAGACACATTGCGATATTTCGATTTAAAACCGTTGACATTTTTTAATTTCAAGTCATCCGATCTGGATTTCAAACGTCTTCCTCCATGTTATCTCAAGGATTTTTCTTCTATTTGCAGATATTCTAGCGTAACCTAAAAATAAAAACATATTATTTTAAATTGCGTACACGTGTTTTCAATAATTTTTGCAATCATTTATTTTGAATTTAAATGATAACGTTATTAACTGTACCAAATGAATTGAAATTTCCATTTTATACATATTTCAATTTTCATCTTACGGATTATATTAAACTATAAGCTTTTATACATTAACCAGTTAAATGGGTATTCAAATTTACCCAATTAATATTTTGAAAGTTAAAACGTTTTGTTAACTTTAAACAATTTTATATAACAGGATTTGTTTTCGAGCGTTTATCTGATTTGCATCTTAAATTGAAACCAATTTTATATTGAGCCAATTAAATTGAAATCCCTAATATAAAAAAAAGAATTGAGTTTAATGTTTTCTTCCTAACTGGCATTCACGTGTAATTGCAAATATGAGAACTTTAGACGATCGTTTATATCTAAAGAAGACGTACAGTTATAAGATCGACAAATTGTTGCAAACTTGAGATACACTTTTAGTTGCCAGGCAGTTTTAAGTTCTAAGAATAGACTTATTACTGAACTTTCAAAGTTGATATTTTATGATTCGCCAATTTCATATAAACTTACTAAATGAAATAAATTTATAAAAAATAAATCGATAAAGGCGAGGAAATAAGGATATAAAGATTGGAACGTGGAATGTACAAATAATGATGCAGAATAGGTGCTGATGAGATCGATAAATATAGCGTAGATATAGTGGCGCTACAAGAATTAAGATGGAAGGGCAATGACAGAATCAAAAACCCAAATACAACCTGTATTACAGCAGAGGGAAGACGCAGACAGCGGCGTTTATGGTGAATCAAAGAACAAAAAGCATAATAATTGGTTGTTTTAACGTTGTAATCAAATAGATCATGTGATTGTATCAAAAGGAAGAGCTTCCTTTATAACAGACGTTAAGACCAGACGAATGGTAAATTATGACTCTGATGAATTACGACCAATAAGTAGCATACTTAAAATAAACCCATCAGCAATATGCAGAAGGTAAAAGAATGGACGAACAAAACGCGGAATATCGTCAGATTGAAACTAGATGAACTAACATTCCTAGGGGGTTAAGCCAGGGATAAGGAAATAAGTAAGGAAGGAATTGAGGAAACCATAAAAAAATTAAAAAACAATAAAGGGAACTGATACCATAACGACAGAGTTACTGAAATACTTATGATTTGGAACGATGCCGTATGAGTGGCGGAAAGGACTGATTACACCAATACATAAGAAAATCGATAAGCTAGTTTGCCAAAATAACGGAGGCATTGTATTGTCGAACATAACAAATAAAATTTTCTCAGCTTTAGTATTATAATAGATTATCAGTGTATGCAGAAGAAATTCTTAAAAATTACCAATGTGGTTTCAGGCCGAATAAATCAACAATTGAGCACCTAATGCGACAAATCTTGCTGGCGATCCGTGGTACCCTGCGAGCTGTTCGGCTAGACCTGCGTAGCATAACCGATGTCACACCTTCAATAGATGTTGTTGGTGTAAAGATTTTTGACTTGAATGGCAGTTGGTGTTTTATTTTCGTTGCTTATATACCTCCATCCACTTCTGTTGAAGTCTTTGAAACATTTTTGGAGAGGCTCCAAACATTGAACTATCTTGCCAATGACCCTATTATGGTTTTGAGTGACTTTAATGTCCTATCATATGCGAATCCTGACGGAAGAGATCGCCTTGGTACAGCTCTCTTAAACTATGAATCATTTAACAACTTCACTCAGGCAAACAATAGCCTTAACACCAATAGCCGCTTATTGGACCTGGTATTTTGTAACTTCCCTTGTGTGGTCCCCAGAGATTTGGACCTTATTATGGTCGAAGATCGCCATCATGCCGCACTTCAAATGGTATTTTCTTGTTTAGAATCTACTTCACCTGAATTCCAAGCTACATCTAGTGTGCCTACTTATAACTTTAAACGAGCGAATTTTCCGTTGCTCTACAATTTGTTAAGGAGGTTGTTTGCGCAATATTTTATGAGCTCATTTATAAAGCATGTGATATCGCTGTGCCAAAATTTGGATTTTTGCAGCCTGGAAAAAAGAAATACCCGCTCTGGTTCACAAAAGATATTAGAGAGGCTCTTCGGGTTAAAGGAAGCATACATAAGAAATATAAAAAGTATCGAGCCGCTTATTATTTGGAATTATTCAAGCATCAACGAATGCTCACCAAAACTATGATAAACGCTGCTTACAAACAATATATAACTGATACTGAGAATGGAATTTATAGTGACCCGAGGGGCTTTTGGGGCTATGTACAATCCAGAAAGGGCTCCTCTCGGATACCTGGTATTATGAACTACAGGCAAAATTAATACACTACGAGTTCCTCAATTGTTGACGGTTTCGCTGAATATTTTGGTGAGGTCTACATTGATTCGGATCCCCACACTTTGTCCGATTCTGGGTTGACATTGGACATGCCAAAAATAAACTTTCCGCAAGAGTTGATGGTATTCCCAGCTTCTTGCTAAGAGATTGCGCCATTATTTTTGATACTCCCCTACTGTATCTTTTCAACATAATTCTCAAAAAGTCCGTGATGTCTACACAGTGGAAGAAAGCTGTTATTTGTCCAATCCACAAGAAGGGCGACTTTAGCAACAATGAAAACTATCGACCTATTTCGTTACTGTGACTATTTGAGTCAATTTTATACAAATATATCTACGCACATATTAAGCCCTACATAACACCCTTCCAACATGGTTTTGTAAAGAATCGGTCAACTGTATCAAACCTAGTTGGTTTTACACAATTTGTGTCCGATGTGCTAGATGATAGAGGCCAAGTAGATGTTGTTTACCTAGATTTTCAGAAGGCCTTTGATCAGTAGGCTCATTATGTGTTGTTGCGCAACACATAAGGAGTCTTACCTTCGAGATAGAGAGCAGAGCGTCAGATACTTCAACTGCAGTTCGTATCCTATTCGGCCAACATCGGGAGTGCCTCAAGGTTCAAACCTGGGTCCACTTCTATTTCTCATCTTCATCAATGACATCACGGACTCCATTGATTGCGGTAAACTACTTTTTGCTGATGACCTAAACATTTTTACCTCAGTTCGCTCTTCAGCGGATAGTGTTATTCTTCAGAGTGGTTTGAATAGTGTTATCGAGTGGTGCACGAATAACCGATTGTCCCTAAATGTGTCGAAGTGCGCCGTTGTTTCCTACACCAGAAGTTCGCTGATACACACAGAGTACTGTATCGGTAATAAAGTCTTGCGGTGCACTAATAATATTACAGACTTGGGGGTAACTTTTGATTCAAAACTAACATTCATAGACCATGCAACTAATCTGTGCGCGAAATGTTATCGAACTTATATGGTTTTATATATCGCAATTGTAAAGAATTTTCAACCGTCGGCCTTCTTACTATTTTTAATGCTCTGATTCGTTCGCGCCTTGAATACGCATCTTTGATTTGGCAACTTTTTTATGTTAATTTATTAGAACGCATTCAAAGATTATTCTTGAAGTTTTTGTGTTACCGAATTGACCAAATATATCCCCCTAGAGGTATTGATTACAGTATATTACTGAACCGATTTGATGTAGTGTCACTGTCAACACGTAGAATAACAATCGCTGTGAGATTTTTGTATGGTTTACTTTACGGTTTGATTGACTGTTCACAGATTTTATACATGATCAATTTTAGCGTACCAAGACTTAATGTTAGATCGGCACGTGTTTTCTATTGCAACTTCAACAGAACAGTATTGTCTCAACGCTCCCCAGTGTCGTTGATGTGTAGTTATTATAACCACATTTCCGCTGAATGCGACATTTTTATCGATACGATTTGTATATTACTACATTTGTATTTTTTTTTCTTTTTGTATTCCTGTAATTGTGTGGAGACCTGTTGGAATAAAGGATTTATTATTATTATTGTTAAATTCAGCTTAACATGTTTCGAGTAACGTCATCTTCAGAAGCGTCGTTAATTTAAAAAACTTGCGTTCAAAATACACACGTGCACATTCAACATTTTATAAAGATATTTCTATTTAGTGACTAGGGTTCGAGTTGAGATGTCGAGCGCACGTGTTCTTTTTATTCCGTAAAATAGTTGTTTTCACGGGAAATTAGTCGTTCGATTTTAACGTAAATTTGACTGTTAATCAGTGATTGGTGTTGGTACCTAATAGTCAACTTTTTGTCGAAGTTGCTCTTTAACTCTGAGTTCCGGGATAACACGTGTTGTCTTAGGAGTGACCTCCAATATATAGTAATGAATACGTCGTTTAACTTTGGATAAAAGTTTGTTGCGGTGGTGTAGATCTTTTTGTTGGTTGCGTGTATAAACCGCCTAACTTTAATTACGTAAATTTTCTCAATGAATTTGAAAATTCTATTACAAATTATTTAAGTATGTCGGATAAAATTGTTTGTTGTGGCGATTTTAATATTAACTTATTAAATTTCGAAAAAAGTGATACCACTGAATTTTTGTCTCTGATGGATTCATTGGGTGGAACTCAGCTCATTGATGCACCTACAAGGACGGCGAGGAACTGTATATCATTAATAGACCTAATTATTACTTTTGACGAGTCTTTAATTCTGAGTAGTGGAGTTATTGGCTGTGACGTTTCCGATCATGTCATGGTGTACTATGTGATGAGTGTGAATATTCCTGAGAGTGTTCCACTTTATAGAAATATGCGCTTGTTGAATCGCATTAATCACGAACAATTTTTGCTTGACCTGCAGTCCATACCATTTAATTTTATATTTTGTATGGATGATATTGATCGGAAACTTGAGTTTTTAAATGGTAACTTAATTGCCTTGTTTGATGCTCATGCTCCACCGAGGAATTACAGATTTACTAAACCACGCAGTCCTTGCTTGGCAGATAATATAAAGCTCTTGATGAATTTGAGGGATCGCGCAAAAATTAAATTCAGGAGGACTCGCAGTCGGGGTGATTGGGGTTACT